CAGGGAATGCAGCTGGCCCCCCGGTCCGCCCCGCAGCGGTCTTCCCAGGACCCCGGCTCTGTGTGGCCAGGACGAGCCCTGGCCAGGGGCAAAGATCTGGAGCCCAGCGCAGGAGGCCGCCTGTGGGCTCTTCAGAGACCGGTGGGGACGGGGTCGTGTGCGCGGACGCTGACTCCTCGCCGCCGCAATGTGTGACCCTCTCTCTGCGCAGTGCTCCCCTCCCGGAACTTACAGGCTAGTGGGGCGAGACAGACAATAAAGGAAAAGACACCTAATGCTGGGCACAGAGGAAGGACGGCTGCGCAGCAGGGGAGGGGCACCCGCGTGGACAGGAGCAGAGGCTTTAGGCGCTGGCAGGAGGCCCAAGGAGGAGGCACAGGCAGGCGGGGGGCGGGGAGGACTTGCCCTGGGGGCTGAGGAGGGGGCGAGCTGGGCAGAGGAGGGCACGTCTGTCAGGTGGGGGCCGAACCTGAGTGTCGGGGACTCAGAAGAGCAGAGGGCACAGCTCCGTTTTCAAGGTCAGGGCTTCACCTGTTTGGGAGGACTTGGCCACTCTGGGCTCTCCTCAGCCCTGGAAGTCCCAGCTGCCCCAAGACCTGGCCGCCTGGATGAAGGCCTCTTATTTGCTTTTCAAAAAAGCAGTAACTGCAGACACCCCGACACATGGTCCTGAGCTGGCTGGGGACCGGCTGAGCTACGGCCCCTCCCCCGGGCCAGCGTTGGCACCTCTCAGCACACACTGACGGGACAGCCTCTGAGTGGCCCGGAGCGGAGCAGGGAGCATGTCCTCCATGCCCCAGGTGGGAAGAGCAGGGTTGGAACTCAGAGGGCCTTGGAGTTATCTGAGTTTGTGGTGGAAGGTGGATTCCCTGAGCTGTCTGGGGACCGGCTGAGCTACGGCCCTTTCCCCGGGCCAGCGTTGGCACCTCTCAGCACACACTGACGGGACAGCCTCTGAGTGGCCCGGAGCGGAGCAGGGAGCATGTCCTCCATGCCCCAGGTGGGAAGAGCAGGGTTGGAACTCAGAGGCCCTTGGAGTTATCTGCGTTTGTGGTGGAAGGTGGATTCTGCCTGCGTCTTCTGAGTTTGTGGTGGAAGATGTGGTGGAAGGCGATTCTGCCTGCGTCTTCTGAGCTTGTGATGGAAGGCGGATTCTGCCTGTGTCTCCCGATCCCGGAGTCACAGCTCTCCCTAGGAGACCTGAGTGAGAGAGGGGACTCTGCGGGTAAAGAGGAGCGTGACCGAGGCCACCAGCCCTGCCCTGATGTTAACTCTGGTAGGGGGAGGGGGCTGGGAAGCCTGGCAGACCCAAGGTGGGTGGGGGTGGAGGGTAGACTGACGGGCAGGTGTGGGGGACAGTAGAGCCACGTCAGTGTCCTAGAGCCCACGAAGGTGTTCTCTCGCTGTCAGGACGGGCCCTCTGTGGGAGCAGGGTGGCCTCAGGAACTGGGATGGCTGCCTGGACGCCCAGGATGGTGGCTGAAGACACAGGGTACTTGTTCTGCCACACTGAGGCTCAGAGTCAGGTGACATCCACTCCCTGGTACCACCCAGCCCCCAGGAGCTGCCAGACCCGACTTCTGAGGTGGGGGGTGGGGAGACAGCCCCAAACACGAGCCGTTCTGGAATAAAGGGGAGGAGCTGAAACCCGGTCAAACCCTCCCCAGAAATCAGCTGGAGCCCAGATGATCCAGGCGGCGCCCAGCCCCCTCGCTCACCCTCACCTCCGAAGCTGCCAAATGACGGGGGCTCCCCTGGGGGCCCCCAGAGACTGAGGGGTGAGTGCCCAGGGGCCCGGGGCAGCCTGTGGACCCGGAGAAAGGCCCCCGCCTGCACGTGGGACAGAGCGGGAGGCCGCAGTCGGGGTGTTCCTCTGGGCATCCTGGGCTTCGTGACTGCCTCTGGGACTCAGTTTCCCCATTCGTGAAGGGAAGAGACTCTCCCCTGGCTCTTCCTTGCCTGTAGGGGTTGGGGACGATGCAGAGTGAGGCGGTTGGGCCTTGAAAGTGCCCCGGGCGGCCGAAGGAGAGGTGTATTTACACAGAGCAGTGAGCACCCTGACTCCTCCCCAGGCTGTGCGCCCCCCACCTCAGCCCTGGGCCCGGGGTCATACAGCAGAATCATGCGGTCACCTCCACACGTGCTCAGTGTTCCCTTTTTCCATCCTCCGTGGAAAGGGACAAAGTGGGACCGTCCGGCAGCCCAAGGTCATGATGTAAAGGAATCGAGGCACGGGAGGCCCTGGTCCCACATCCTCAGGAAGGAGTCAGGGCCCAGGAGAGGGGTTGCCATGACAACGGGCCCTCAAAGGAGTCGGGAGGTTCTCTGCCTCTAAGCTGCCTGGTTGCTGTGCGTTTAGGGGAGAGAGCGTTCTGGGGTGCTGTGAGCGGGGAGGAAGTGGTGTCTCGAGCAGTTTTCATCTTTATTTTCCACACACTGGGGGTTCGGGGTGGGTAAAGAGTCCCCGTCGGTTCCTCAAAGAAGAAAGAGCCGAGAGTAAGGGGGTGACTCAGGAGAGTAAGGAGGTGACTCAGGACAGACAAGATGACAGGTGAGAGGCGCGAGCCCCCCGCACCCTCGTGTCAGAGGCTCCACACCACAGCTGCTCTGATGCCCCCGGGGTCCCCAAGGCCTCGTGGGAGAGGGGGGCACACTGTGTGCAGAAGGGCCCAGGGCGTCTCTGCTCCTGCGGCCTAAAGCGACCTGGGGAGAGGTCCGTCCTTGTCACCAGGCCACAGGCCACTCGCGGAGGTGGATTGAATGGGTAACAGGACCGA